ATATAAAGTTAATACATATATTTGGCTATTGGGAGCAGTACAGATCGCACAAGCATACAAAATCAGTTGTTTTCTTCATCAATAAAAAATTTGGTAAAAACTACATCAATGTAAACATCCTATCATCGATATAATACATAACACATAGATTATTATTGTGGAGGAATATATAGATGGAGCTGGTGTTTCCCTTTTTCTCTGTGTTGCTTCACGGTGTATTGTGGAGCGAAGGTGGAGATAATATAAATAATGCCAGATTATAGGTGTTGAGAGATTATTTTCGAGATGGGCATCTCTCTCTCTTTTTAAATTTTAACTCTATGCATATTCTCTATCTCTCTCTCTTTTAAATTTGTTAGATTAACGGTTTAAAGAGAGGATGAATCCTCTTTGGGTGGGGCAAGATAAACACTAGAAGATAACTATATCTCCTCTCGTGAGAAATTTTTTGAAAAATAGGTCAAGATACGAGATATCCAAATCTTGGTTGATATACACGAGAGTCTTGCATGCTTTGATTTTACAAAATAGAATGAATTAGTAATGGATTGATTCTATGGATTAGTATCCATTTATCTTAAATTTTGAAATTACAATATCTCTATATCTATGCTTAAGCTATAGAAACAATCTCTCTCATTGTATTTCTCAAATTAAGATATAAAAACAATCTCTCTCTTCCTTCCTAAAATCTTATTTTAGGAGATTCTCTAAAAATTGATTTGGTAGTAAATTGATTTTGTTGATATGGTAAGCATCTATAATCTATCCAATATACTATCTCTCTATCTCTATCCCTAATTAGAATATAGAAATAAAAATGTAGTATGTTTAGATAAGGATTGATTTTGTTGATATGCTCTCTTTTGATTTTATTGTAAATTGATTTTGTTGATATCTTTCATTAAATGAAAAATTGATATTCCCGCTCTTGTGCATTAGAAGATAGGATACAGATGTACCACACACTAATTTTAGGAGTCTAAGAAGGAAGTGCCATGCATTAATTTTAGGAGATGTTAAGCATACCCATAGAGAATGCATTTTGAGGGAGGAAATGCATATGCATATTTTAGAATACGGATGATTGGATTCATGGTAAAAGATTTTAAAGGAATGATATGCAACAATTTTAGAAAAATATTGGAGTTGCCATAATAAGGACCAAAAAAAAAAATTGTGTGGTCACCCAAAAAAGTTCAAACCAATTGCCTATATATTCTATTCATAAAATTATCTTTTTAAAATTTTTAAAATTTATTTTCACTTATTTATGATATTCATATTAGAGCTTATATATTCTTTTAGGTCCAAAATCCATCTCAAAAATAGATTTTTAAAAGAGGACTTATTTTTACGGGAGTCCTAGGACTCGTAGAAAACTTGTCCATTTGAAATTTGAGGTGTAGATTAAGCACCAACTAAAATAATAAAAAATATTTTGAAAAAAAAATCATCAAAATATCCTTTAAATAATTCAAAGCTATAGTGATCTACTTCTTTAATTCAAAAGATTTATTATTATTTTCATTTTGTGCATCATAAGAATACATTTATATCTCAAATTTCAACAAATAAAAATTTTAAAAATCAAACATCTTAGCTTCCATACCATAGTAGATGGGCAATTAGGTCATACCCGAGTTGGGTCAACCCCACCCGACTTGAATCCGATAATCGGATTATCGGGTCTTGATAGTCGGGGTCCTCGAACCCTCCATCGGATGCGGATCTAGGCAGAGTGGTATTGGACCTAGCCGGATCCGGGTCCTGGTCCAGCTTATCCGTTCTCATTTTAGGTTGCTTACGCATGGGCAGGCCCACTTTGATGTGGGCATAGGACCGGGGAGTCTTTTCCGTGTGTTGTGGAAAATGGGATGCCAACTCTCGAGTATGTGATGGAGGTCAGACACGTTTCTTAGGGGTCATTGTTACCGTTATTGGAAGCAAATAAATATTCTATTAAATAGAAAATGCACTGATTGCGCCACTTCATCTTCCTCTTTCAGAGTGTGAAATAATGAGTTGTAAAACGCTCCCTTTTCCATTTCTAAATAATGGATAACATAAGCCCAAATTTTAGTTGCAAGATCCCTAAATAATGCAAAGGGCCCACAGTTCTTGATTCTCTTAGACTCCTCAAGACTCATGGGAAAGGTTTCTACACTTTCCTTGTAGCAAGGATGATCTATGCTTTCCCTACCATCTAACCATCCAATTTTGATCAAATGAGTCACTCATCGTTTAATCTTAGATCTGACACCTCAGAGTATTTTAGTTTTAATTTTTTAATACAAATTGTACGAATGTGAAATTTAACATGCCATATTCTCATTGGGGTGCACCTATAAAAATATTAAAAATAATTTTTTATAAAATATAATGACCAAAATATCTTTTGAAACTTTTAAGAGTATTTTGATCTTTTTTTATTAAGAATATTTTTTTTAGATTTTTTACAAGCACGAGTTTAATAGAGGATTGGCCATTTCCACCTATCAACTAGCAGGTTTCAGCCGATCTGTTGTGAATCTCTCTGATGGAACCAACTGGTTCTATTAAAAAGCCGGTACAAAACCACTCCACATTTTTTATTTTTTATTTTTTGTTTTTTATTTTTATATTTTATTGGTTGAACTAGCTGATTTTGGCTGGTTCTAGCCCTTATTTGAAATAAGGGTTTTTAATGGCCGCACTTAATTATTTATTTTTATTTTTTCAATTTTTTTTGAACGTGAATTTGCCGAATCGGATCAAAAACCGAGAGGGATGGTCTGGTTATGCCTATTAATTAGGTGAGAGTAACCGGTAAACCTACCACCTCATGCACGTGCACGTGCAAGATACGAAGACTCCTCTAAAACCAAGGAAGTTGGAATACGAGGAGGGCCTTTGATTCAAACCCAAAGTCTACTTTGATTTATAAAATAGTCAATTATGCAATGTGCGGGTTGGGTGATGACTTGTTTTTTTTTCCCCCGAAGTGTGGTGAGGGTATGTATGCATTTGAGTGTATACATCTTATTTCCTGTTTGTTCCTTATGTCGAATATCTAATGAAGTTTTGAATCTTAGTTTCCCCTCTATTGAGATAGTAGTAATTGCTTGACATGTGTATCATGTTCTCTTTTAATTTTGACCATTTGGCTTTGGTATAAGCTCATGACCACATCTCTTCATCGCACGCGCAACAGGCAGCCAGAGATGAGTCGCGAAGTGAGACTTATTATTATTATTACTATCATTATTTTCATTTATTTATACTTTGGACTTTGGGCATGGCTAATTGTCAACTAAGCAATAAAAGTAAATGTGAGCTTGTACCATAGGAAGCGAGTAGTAAATTAATGACATTATTGTAGAAATTTATACTACAACATTTTATTTATTTTTATAATAAATGTCAAATTGAAGGGCTTAGGACAAATTTGAGAAATTATTTGGAACTTTGACTCTAGTCAACTACCCGATTTAGAATACGAAAAAGTTTATATACATATTAGGCTTTAAACAACCAAATCAGAGTCTACCTCAAAAAATTTCACTAGAAGAGGTTATTTTGATGCTCAAATATCTTTAAATTGATCATCTTGACATCAAGATATATGTCAAGATATATGGATATGAGAAAAAAATAGATTTCAAGTTTTGAAAATAATGCATTTTGTAACACATTTTTTGACCGTCAATTCTCAAGATTTTTCAAATTTTCATAGATCAGTTTGACCAACTCTTAATATTTTTTAAGCTTTAAATTTATAATTAAAGATGAAAATATATTTTAAGGCTATCACTTAAATTTTCAGTATTGAAACCACATTTCTTGATATTATTTAAAGATAAGCTTACTTTGATTGTTTAAAACCTCGACAATACACAAACCGCACCCGAATATTTTTGTTATAATAGATGTCAAATTGAAGGGCTTATAACAAATTTGAAAAAAAAAATTGGACCTTTAACTCTAGTCAATATGACACTCTAATCACCTGATTTAGAATATGACCACAAGAGTGACTCTTACCTCCTTATATTTAAAATAAATAGTTTCTCTCGGTGGGACAAGACAATGAACACTTAAAGGGCTATTGGCCTTAGGCCAGACCAGCCCTAGCCCTATTCCCTTGAGAGCTAGGTCAGGGCCCATCCAAGTAAAATTAAAGAAAAACAAACAATAAATAAATAAATAAAGGTTGGGCCAGCCTTGTATTGGCCTCACCCATACTCCACATTTTATGACCCATGCCTAAGTTTTTAAGGCCAGGTATACATAGGTCGGGCCACTGGACTCATTAATAGCTTTAGCTATTTATTCATCTACACCGCATGATTAACATTTAAGATGATAAAGTCGGATGGTGAGAATGGCATGTAACCAACTGCCCTAAGAAGCATTTCCCAGAAAAGTAAGTCTTCTATAATAGAAGGAAACCCAAATCCTAGCTGGGCCCTAAAATTAGACCCTGCTCCCCATTTTTAAAAAAAGTTCAATCCTATATTAACAGGGGTGGTTATCTTTGTCCTTTATTCCCTTCTCTCTCTCTCTCTCTCTCTCTCTACACTCCAGAACCTCAAAGAGGTGGCTATTGTAGATCAGAAGTGAGGGGAAAGTTGGGTTTTCTTGTTGGTGAAAGGAAAGGGCAATGGCTTCTTCATCTTTTGGTCCCATATGCCTGCTGGTTTTAGGCCTTGTTCTAAATCTTGCAGTCCCTTCCTCTTCACAAACTTGCATTTCTCAGACCTTCTCCAAAAACAGGCTCTTCCATCGCTGTAACGATCTCCCTGCTCTTGGGGCCTACCTTCATTGGACCTACGACCCGGCTAAAGCCTCCCTAAATCTGGCGTTCATGGCGCCCCCTGCTAAATCTGGCGGATGGGTGGCCTGGGCCATTAACCCCACCACATCTGGAATGATTGGAGCTCAGTCCCTCATCGCATTCCGGCAGTCGAACGGTTCTATGACAGTGAAGACCTACAATATCAGCTCCTATGGCTCTGGGATCGAGCCGTCCGATATCGGGATCAAGATGTCGGATCCTGAGGCGGAGTATTCTGGTGGGGTGATGACCATTTTTGCGACCGTGGTTTTGCCCGGAAACAAGACGACCATTAACCAGGTTTGGCAGGTGGGGAGCTCGGTCACTGGTTTGAGCCCTGAAAAACATGCCTTTGGACAAGCCAATCTCAACTCCAAGGGGGCCATTGATCTCCTTAAGGGCCAGACCCAAGTTGTTTCTTCTGGGAATTCCAGGTTAAGGCGTGCAAACGTGGGTACCTTATCCTTTTTATTTCCTTCAAATTTCGCTTGAGCAATCGTTTTCTTTTTTGCTTCTATCTTTTTCTCTTGTGTTTTGATTTTCCTTGCATGAAAATTTGCTTATTCATATATTTTTTAATACCTTTTTGGGGTTCTGTAGAAAGGAACAAATGATAAGCTTTTGTTAGTAATTGGAATGATCCTTTCGATTTCATGTACGGAAACTGGAAAAATTAGTTTAAAGGTGTAATATGACGCTAAATATATAGAAGCTTTTTTTTCTTTCCATTTCTCTTGTTGTGTTTTCTTTTTCCCCTTTTTATTGGAGTTTGGAAAATTTTCTGCTTAGAAGCTCTGCAAAACTTTATCCAAAAGGAAACTCCATATTGTATTTCTTTCTGTTTCCAGTTTAATTTTATTTCTGTTGATAGGTTTTGCTTTCCTTTTAGGAGAATTAGATGGATAAAAGCCACTTCATTCCCATTGTAGAAATGTTGGGGTTTTACTGAGCAGGGGGGAAACTGAAACTACAGAATAAAAACTTGGTTAATTTCGGTTTGCAAAGTAGAGGTTTATTTGAATAAGTAAGATCGTTTCTTACTTGATTTTTTTTTTCTTTTTTGATGTATATTGCAAACTGATATTAAATCTCGAGATGAAACAAAAGAAAGAAAATCCTTGAAAACTTGGGATTCTTGTAGAAACAAGGAGAGATAAGAAGAAAAAGAATAGGAAAATTTAATATATTCCAATGATTTGGTTTTCTCTCTGCATTGATATAAGAAACATGGCTGCTTGTGTTTATGGTGCTGATCACCGGATAACTTTGCAACAGACTCATGGGATATTGAATGCTGTGAGTTGGGGAATTATGATGCCTGTTGGAGTGATTATAGCGAGGTACCTGAGGACCTTCAAGTCTGCAGACCCTGCTTGGTTTTACCTCCATGCCTCCTGCCAATTCTCAGCTTATGTAATCGGTGTCGCTGGTTGGGCCACTGGCCTTCAACTCGGCAAAGAATCTAAGGGAGTCGAGCAGACCACTCATCGCAACATTGGGATTGCTCTCTTCGCCCTTGGAACCCTCCAGGTAGTACTCACTACTGCTGTGGCTGCTGCTACTATTACTCATTTTCATCATCTATTTTGTCTATCATGCTTAGTTTCATTCAATATTTTGACTTCAGTCTATTGTGACCACCATATCTGTAGCAATGAAGAAGTGCAGTTATTGTCTTTGTTATTAAGGGGAATCTGTTCATTGAATCTTTTGACCCTGTCATATTTGCCTATGAATGTCTAATTTAACATGGGTTCTTCTACATTTTTTGAATTTGGCTGGACTCTTTTGCCTTCTTAATTGTACGCTTATAGTATAGTTTGTTTTTTTTGTTCTTAATATGAAGTACAATGTTAAGGAATTTTTTGAGGTCACCCATTTGAGTATGTTGTTTTATTTTTTTAGCTTTCAAGATGCTAATCGTTACACTGGTGAATTAGATTGGCTCTTTTTTTTTGTTTTGACCAGTGTTTTAAAACCCAGATAGCCGACTTAGGATTGGGACCCTAGTGAGTCCAGAGGCCAAACCTCGGGACTTGCCCCAAGTCTCCTATTTCTTATGTTAAAAACTCATTTGTCTGAATCAAAACTCACCAAGTCAGACTGGGTTACTCAGGCTCTGGACCGTGGGGAGTTCTAGCCCAGGATCTGTGGTTTTAAACATTTTGATCTTGATGACGAATGGCTATATTTGTTTTGAAGTTTTCACATCTCTATGTGGTTCTCAAGAGTGAAAAGTAAACAATAACAAACACATGGAATAATGCCACAATATGTAAAATTTCTTTTTGGGAACACATCTGGTGAAACTAATCCATTGGCTAATAATAGGTGTTCGCGCTTCTCTTAAGGCCGGCGAAAGAACACAAGTACCGCTTCTATTGGAACATCTACCACCACTCAATGGGATACACAGTGATCATATTGGGCATCATAAACATATTCAAGGGTTTGGATATTTTGCTGCCCGACAAGAAGTGGAGGCATGCTTACATTGGGTTTATTGCTTCATTGGGTGTGATTGCAGTGATTTTGGAAGCAATAACTTGGGTGGTGGTCGTGAAAAGGAAGTCTGGGAGCTCAACCAAACTTCACGACGCTGCAAACGGGAACCGAGGGCGCCAGCCATGAGCAGCATAAGGTTTTCATGATGCTTTATGTCTCTCTGCCATCTGTAATTTTATTTTATGATTTCGGTTTCTCCTCTTTCTTCTCTTTTACTATCTTTTGGGGGTGGAATTGGAGGAGCACTTCTTAGAGGAGGTTTTTCGGGATGGCTGTGTTCATCTTTCCATGTAAATTGGGTACCTATGTTCTAGACTCTCTTGATACATACGTTGCATGTAGAGGAGTGGTTATTTGGATACTCATAAATTTGTGTTTCAGATCACGAGTGCTCAGTCTTTTTCAATCATGCTTCATCCCATTCTTTCTTACTTTAATTCTTGGTTTGCTTTTGTTTACAAAGTCTTTCAATTATGTCCCCATGTCTTTCTTTTTGAAAGTCTTGTTGATTTGCTTTCTTTTGCTTTTCATTTTGCATTGATGACTCCCTACTCTGTCAATGTCATGGAGGGCCCCTGAAATTGATGTCTTCCTTAATATTTAAGCAGATTTGGGCGGTGAACATAACTTGTTAAAAATCCGTACTCAATTTTATAATGGTCAGCTTTTGGGTGCGTGATGCACCTATGCAAATGTAGTATCCAAAAATCCATTTATGTATGGATTTTGGAAATTAAATTTTACAGGTCCATAATCTGGACAGCCACAATCATGAATCCGAAAAAAAAAAAGAAGGGTTTAGACCTTTATATTAGCTTATTTTGAACTACATATTTTTATTGTTTATCATCGTTCATTTTGATTGAGATCATCAAATCTTCATTATTTTTTCAGTTGCAAAATCATAGATGTGCAAATTTTTGTGTTGCAAATAAGAGAGATATGTTTTATATTCTAAATCCATTTCTAGATATTATCAAGACCATTTCCTCTTGCTAGTTCAGTTTAAGAAGCGTGAGTGCCCTACCAACCGATATTTGTTTTAAAGCCCGGTTTGATTGTGGGACGGTTTGGGTCCCGGCCTGGTTCCCACATAAAAACTCCTCTTTGAATTTTTTTTTCTTTTGTCTTTTTTAAGGCTCGTCTAAATGCTTTCTTAGGTCTCCTTTGAGCCCACGGCATAAAACCCTAGTTTAATTTTTAATTTATTTTTGTTTCAAAGAGAATTTTGTTTATTTTATTTATTTTTTAAAAAATATCTTGGATCACCGATTCGGATCGATCCAACGATTCCACACGAATCTATGGGGTGATCGATCCACCCCACCAATCTGAGTCTTTGAGGCATTGTTTCGTAATCCACACACCATAGGGGTGCATGAGCATGATAAGCACTAACCTCATTGAAATGCAATTAACATGAATATCGTTGGGAACAACATTTTAATTTCCAATCTGGTTGTCGATCTTGATGGGAATCGATTAGGACCATGTTGGTTTCGGGTATGATCCCTCCCTAAAATCCTATTTATATATTTGCTTTTCTTTCTTTTGTTAAATTTATTTAATATTTTCTAAAAGTCTCTTCTAAATCCCTGCTTTTATAAACTTTTATTTTATTTTATTTATTTTTAGATTTTTTTACTAGATTACCAATTTTGGGCCAATGGGACACAAATTTGTGGCCCAACGATCTGCCTCACCGATCCGATTTGGAAACACTCCTCGTGCATTTTCCCTTTCTAGGACCCAAAAAGAAAAAAGTCAAGTAAATCCCTTTATTTTACTTTTTTGAGAGATAAGGTAAACCCGTTTATTTTTTGCCGTGTGGTTGGGTTGCATTGGGGCTCCAATTCCTTAAATAATGATACCCACTACTTGCAAATATTTTCTCAAACGTTACGTCCGTCCGCCCATGCACATGCCTCTCATAATGAGCGAGCGGTGGAGGGAAAGATAGAATTGTGAGGGATATTCCACCTATGCATGCTTTTGTGTTTTGTAATTTGCTTTTTCAAGACGCACCTAACTAACAAAAATATTCGTTGCCCACGTGGGGCGGGTCTATGTTTTCTCTTGATTGTGATAACGTAATGAGACCCTAAACCCACATTTGGTAAATGTGAAAAAATTTCTCAATCACAATGTTCCGTTTCCACATTATTTTATTTTTAATTTTTAATTTTTTTTCTATAAATTATTTTGAAATCAAATTTTGGACGTCCAATCTTTTATTAAACTCGTACTAACATAAAATATAAAAATAATATTTTTGATAAAATAAATTGATCAAAATACTTTTAAAAGTTTCAAAAGGTATTTTGGTCATTTTATATTATCAAAAACTTAGGTTTAATATTTTTTATAGGTGCATTTCAATGAGAAGATGATACGTACTAAACTTTATATTCATACAATTTGTATAAAAAAAACTAAAAAATAAAAGACTTTGAAATGTCGGATCTAAGATATAATGATGAGTGACTCTGTTGATCGAAATTGGACGATTGGATTGTAGGATAATCATAGATCTTCTGTGTTGTAAGGAAAGTATAGAAACTTTTCCCTTATGTTATTAGGTATGTTAATTTCAACACATTTTGGCAGCCAAAGGTTTCTACGGGAGATGACTTGGAAGACAAAGGATAGCAAACCGGATACAGTATTTGAGTATTTGTCCTACAAAAGAGTGACAGCAGGAGAATAAATTTTACAAGAGTGAATTGAGTGTGATGTAAGGAGGAAGGAAGATAAAATGATAAACTAGAAAAATAAAACATAAAAATAAATAGCAAGAGAATGTACTCTCTCATAGGGTCCGTAAAGGACTCCACCTTAAAAAATCCTTTCAACAAGATGTAAATAAATTCTTCTCTTCATTTTATTTTTTCTAGTCAAAGAATTACATATTTATAAAAGGAAACAATCTTCAAGCTTCCCAATAAACCCTAATTAAATCCTATCTTATATCTTTATAAAAATAATTTTTCAATGTCCTAAAAAAGTATCAAAATACATACCTTTTTTTTTTTTCAATGGAATAACTAATTAAACAAAATTACGTTGTCCGAAAAGCGACTGCGATGTCAAAATCTCTTACGGGTGGCATTATTTATTTTTCGTGTCTTACAACCCGATCGACTTTTGTAGCATGTCGTGATTTTGTGACCTAAGCTTGAATTGGTGTTCAATTTTTGGTCTTCCACCTCCTCATCACACTCTTGTTCCCCATATTGCAAGCAGTTGTGCTGATCTTGTATTTTTCAGCCAAGACATTCTATTAGGGCTTTTGTGAGTCTCAATTATTTCATCCGTACTTTCTATAACTAGATCAGTTGATGATTATGATGGCATCATAGTATATGATCTCTAGGCTATGATACCCAATTAATGTAAACAAGAGAGAAAATAAAGTAACAAACTATCAAAATAAAATGCACAAATAAATAGCGAGAAAATATATCCTCTCAAGGTTTGCAAAGATATCCAACTCAAAAAGAAAAATTCATTAATATATCAAATAAATAAATAAATAACTTCTTTCTTGTCAAAAAAAGAGAAAAAGATCTATTCACAAGACCCAAATAAATTATTTTCTTCACTCTATGTTTTATAACCTAAGAATTACATATATATAT